GAGTGCGACGATGACTGCAACACAGAAAACGGTTGCGACAACGGAGGCGGCACAGACTGCGACACAGAAAATGGTTGTTACATCGGTGGCGGGACAGACTGCCACGACGACTGCGACACAGAAAACGGTTGTGCCAACGGAGGGGGCACAGACTGCACCGACGACTGTGACACAGAACATGGTTGTGACAACGGAGGCGGCACTGCGACGATGACTGCAACACAGAAAACGGTTGCGACAACGGAGGCGGCACAGACTGCGACGATAACTGCTACACAGAAACCGGTTGTGACAACGGAGGAGGCACAGACTGAGACGACGACTGCGACACAGAAAACGGTTGCGACAACGGAGGCGGGACACACTGAGACGATGGCTGCGACACAGAAAACGGTTGTGACAACGGAGGCGTCACAGACTGCGACGATGACTGCGACACAGAAAGTGGCAGCGAAAATGGCTGCGACCACGGCTGCGAAAAAAATGGGTGCGACCACGGCTCCGAAAAAATGGCTGCAACCACGGCTGCGAAAAAGGCTGCGACCACCGCTGCGAAAATTACTGCGACGACGGCTGCGAAATAATGGCTGCGACCACGGCTGCAAAAATGGCTGCGACCGCGGCTGCGACAAAATGGCTGCGACCACGGCTGCGAAAATGGCTGCGACACGGCTGCAATAATGGCTGCGACCACGGCTGCGAAAATGACTGCGACCACGGCTGCGAAAATGACTGTGACCACTTCTGCGAAAAAATGGCTGCGACCACTTCTGCGAAAATGGCTGGGACCACGTCTGCGACAAAATGGCTGCGATGACGGCTGCGAAACAATGGCTGCGACCACGGCTGAAGCTGACGAGTTCAAAAGATATAACACCTTTGCCCGTGTCGAGATACTTCGGATTTTCTTTTTGCTGCATTATGGTGCCCGCTCGGGACAGGGCCGTGTGCCGGTACGCGATCAGCGTCTTTACCTGCGTGTTGCTCTAATTGTAAACTCGATAGGTACACGTTCACCTTATCAACATTGCGAGTATACTGCACCCCGCTTATCGAACTAGCGCTAGTGTGTGAACTTGAACACATCTCGTACAAATAAACACCAACCATGGTAGATCTACAGTTTTTGCTTGCACTTCTTGCGGTTTAAGCAAACATTCTACTTTTCAAGGCAAACTCCACAAGTGACAGATTTACCTCCCTTTCGGTTGCTATTCTCTTGAGGACCAACGCATATGGCCGATTGGTTTGCAGGCCTGCCTGCGAATCATGAGGTCCCGAGTTCAAGACCCGCGCTGGTAGCAGGGAGCGCGTAAAAAGACTTTTTATTACGCGTGTTGAACTGTGCCGATACCCACGGTCAACTGGGTACTCACAGCTCTGAGTGAGAGTAACAAGGATGCAGTTTACAGGGTTATTTTCTGTTACACGCCCGATTGGTTGAGAGATTAACCTGCTCTCCCCTGACTCATTTGTGAGGTCTGCATCCGCCACTAAGGTGAACAGGCATAGTGGTGGCCTGCGGATGCGAAGGCTAGTTTGTGTGTTTCTGAACATTCAAGCGATGCCGACGCGGCTCCCGAGTATATTAGTATTATTATTATTCTCTTGGTGTTGTCCAATAGCTCGATCCCTGCTCTGGTGAAGGCCACACTCAGGTCTGCCTTTCTTGACTTTGCCGGCATCAGTGGGATGCGGATTTGGATCCGGCTTGGGATCCGGTTCGGTATGCGGCTTGGGGTCCGGCTTGGGATCCGGTTTGGGATCCGGCTTGGGGTCCGGCTTGGGGTCCGGTTTGGGATCCGGCTTGGGGTCCGGTTTGGGGTCCGCCTTGGTGTCCGGTTTGGGGTCCGGTTTGGGGTCCACCTTGAGATCTGGCTTGGGATCCGGCTTGGTTTCCAGCTTGGTTTCCAGCTTGGGGGTCCAGCTTCGGATCTGGCTTGGTATCCAGCTTGGTATCCGGCTTGGTTTCCAGCTTGGGGTCCAGCTTGGGATCCAGCTTGGTATCCGGCTTGGGATCCGGCTTGGTTTCCAGCTTGGTTTCCAGCTTGGGGGTCCAGCTTCGGATCTGGCTTGGTATCCAGCTTGGTATCCGGCTTGGTTTCCAGCTTGGGGTCCAGCTTGGTATCCAGCTTGGTATCCAGCTTGGGGTCCAGCTTGGGGTCCAGCTTGGGATCTGGCTTGGTATCCAGCTTGGTATCCGGCTTGGTTTCCAGCTTGGGGTCCAGCTTGGTATCCAGCTTGGTATCCAGCTTGGGGTCCAGCTTGGGGTCCAGCTTGGGATCTGGCTTGGTATCCAGCTTGGTATCCGGCTTGGTTTCCAGCTTGGGGTCCAGCTTGGGATCTGGCTTGGTATCCAGCTTGGTATCCGGCTTGGTATCCAGCTTGGGGTCCAGCTTGGGGGTTCAGCTTGGGATCTGGCTTGGTATCCAGCTTGGGGGTTCAGCTTGGGATCTGGCTTGGTATCCAGCTTGGGGATCCAGCTTGGGATCTGGCTTGGTATCCAGCTTGGGGGTCCAGCTTGGGATCCAGCTTGGTTTCCAGCTTGGGGGTCCAGCTTCGGATCTGGCTTGATATCCAGCTTGGTATCCGGCTTTGTTTCCAGCTTGGGGTCCAGCTTGGTATCCAGCTTGGTTTCCAGCTTGGGGTCCAGCTTGGGGGTTCAGCTTGGGATCTGGCTTGGTATCCAGCTTGGGGTCCAGCTTGGTATCCAGCTTGGTTTCCAGCTTGGTTTCCAGCTTGGGGTTCAGCTTGGGGGTTCAGCTTGGGATCTGGCTCCACGGACCAATTTTAGAAATGTTACTGTGCATAGACAAAATTCCGGCATTTCTGATTTTTGACATTTTAACAGCAATTTATTTTTCGGCACGCGGTCCATGCTACTACATCACCAAAGCCGATTTGAAAATTTTCCTCAGCGTTTTAATTTCGACATTTCGGGTTGGTGCCGTATAGCTGAAACTAAATAGCTGCAGGGGCGTCGGACACGCAACAGTCACTACGGTATTGACCGTACCACTATTTGCCCCAAGTACCCCGTGAATCAATAACATGTGCTGATTTGGGCTCTAAAATTCCAAACATTTCGGCTTCACCACCCCTCCGTCACGTGTAAATTGTACAGTTCAGATAGCTGACCGTACTACACTAAATCACGTTCCGACACCCCTGAGCTGAGTGTAAATAGTTACCCGGTTTATACCCTTTAAACAGTTACTATACAATAGCCTTCCACATTTCATTTAGCTTCCCGTCCTTTCCATACTCGTAGCCAACAAAGGGTGCAAGGTTTTTAGTTTTGTGTGCAATTCATTTAGCTTCCCGTCCTTTCCATACTCATACCCAACAAAGGGTGCAAGGTTTTTAGTTTTGTGTGCAATTCATTTAGCTTCCCATCCTTTCAATACTCATACTGGGGAGTTCAGTTCCGGACACTGAAAAGCGAAAAATGCAGTCACAGCTCGCCTGTATAAAGTGAATGGGCGCCTCGTGACTGCAGTTCGAGATGCAGTTCGAGGCCCGAGTATCTTCTCCCGCGGCCTTTTCGGCCTTGTCGATGCTATTTCTAGGGAGCTGAGGTCATCACCTTTCCAATGGTGCCACACATGCCATGCTTCCCAAAAATTAATAATGCCTCCGCGCTTGGTGCGGATGCACTTCGAAGTACTAATTTTGACCAGATCCGTACTCGGCCCCGCGAGGAACACCCGATTTTCGTGTTCAGCGGCCTCGAATAAGCCTAAACCAAGAGGATTCTAGAACATTGAGGATCGCGCTTTAGCGCGGTAGAAGGAAGATGATCACAGAAACCAGCCCACGGCGATTTCCTGGTGGTAGACGAAAAAATTCGAGTAAACTGCGCGCACACTGTAGAAGCAGTGACGGTGAAAACGTGTGACTTGTGCAAGCAGGCGCGCACGGCATGCGTGCACACTGCATGCATGCACACATCCTGTATCGCAATGTATGCACCAGATAGTGCAGTGCTGGACGGAAGCCACACGGCTCACATACATACTTGCATTTACCATGGCCAGCAATCGAGGACATCTGAGAGTTGTAATTTTTGTACTCCTCCGAGGCGTGATTTTTGGCGTGCTGGGCCAAGCACAAGGAAGCTATATGCAAAAAAACTGCAGAAAATGGTTGTTGTTTGATCCTTTGGTGTAATCTTTGTTTCTAGTCGAAGCTAGTTGCTGTTTGGAGCAGAAATGCTGAAATTGACTATTTTCTGCATGTACTCATTCATGTACTCATGTACTCAGTCATGCAGTCTCACTCGTATTTTAGCTCTTTTTCTGGAATGGATGCTGCTCTGCGCCCCTCGGTGAACATTTCCTGCGCTCGTGGAGCAGCTGAAAAGGACCACTGGTATGTCTGGCTCCTGGTTTGAAAGTGGAGAGTCGACTTTTGTGCCTTGAAAAAGGAGTAGAGAGCGATAAAGGTACATCTGTGGCTTATTTTTGAGTGCTCCTCGTACATTTTTGATCATGATAGAAATTCTCAGACCAAAGTCAGACCAAAGTCAGCACGATGATGGCCGTACAGTTTTCTTGTGGATTTTTTAGTTGTTTCATCTCGTATCTATGTCAGTATCGTGATGGTGAAGTGGAGAGGGTGATTTTCTTCCTCTAGGCTTCGTTCGGCCGACTTTGCTTCGTCCTCGTTGAAAAGTGATCCTGAAAAAAAGATCGATTCGCAAAATTATGTTGATTTTCAATGTACGTGATGACATGCGATTGCTGGCTATGTTCTGTGACTATTTTCTCCCCCGTTTTCCGATCTTCAATCGAGTGTAACTCTAGATTGCCTTGGAATTTTGAGTTCAAATTTTCACAGGTTGTTTCTCACATCTTCCCGGTTTAGAAAAAACTAGCGTTCTATGCAAAACACGCGAATTTGGTTTTTCGATTGAAGTCCCTACTCATACCCAACATTAGTGTCATTTTTAAAATTTAGATCTCTGTTCTCATTTTCTCTTTGTGTGTCCCACTGTGAAGGTGTCCTGATTGGCTGCTTGCTTCTCTTCTGTCCCCTGTTGCTGACAGGCTGCAATGGTAAGATATATTATGGTGGATGAATTTGGTGCTGGCAATGTCATTATTTTTAGGGCCGAAACGATTGCCCATTTTGCCTTAACGATTAACCAATAACACTAACGATCGATTTATTGGCTTTACCGATTTTCCGAACAAGTTTTATACGTGTCATGTTGGACATCAGTAGACGGCAAAAACAAAATTTGCTCAACTATGTACAGGTACGTACGGGTGAAAGATCCACACAGGCCCAAAAAAGACCAAAATGAAATTTGCAACGTGATATGAGCAGTGTTCCTCTGCCATGAGGCATCAACAATCAGTCCTCTGTCTTCTACAATGGAGAAGGGTCGAATGGAATCGACAATCCAGTCGATGATCGACTCCGTCAACATGCCTGAGCGCCTGCTGTCGCACTTTCGCAAGTTACCTGTGCTGAAGAACGACGTGACGGGCTTCGTTCCAGCACTGGTCGTCGCATTGTCACTGCGCTCAACATTGCTGGTAGTCGTCGTTCCTGTCGACTGGGTTGCTGGTCCTTTCCCTACCGCAGCGGCGTACATGTCTTTATGAGCAGAAATCAGGTGCTAGAACAAGTTGGTTGTGCCGCTTTGACGGACGAACTCGCGGCTGCACAAATTGCATCTCACTACGCTATCAGCTTCCTCGAAATATGCCCAAGCTGGCGATTTCTTGGTCCAACTAACTTTCGCTTTTACAGGCGGCAGCATTGTCACTGCTCTCCTCGCCAAAAAATCAAAAGTAACTGTAAGTTTTTGACAAGAACTGAACAAAATAGAAGGCCGGCAGCCACACTCACAGTTTCGCTACAACCTAAAATTATCAAGCTTTCCGGTTGTTATACTTTCCGGCTACGCTGACTAGTGCAGTGAATGCGCGGAGTGTACGACTACAAGTACACTGTACAGTACCCAAATGGCCAAAAGGATCAAGCGCTAGCGCTATAGCGCGCAATGATTGTACGGACCTACAGCTTCATGCACGTGTACTTCGACGTTCATGTACAGGTGCGCATGACGCGCGTGCATGATGCAATGCATGGTCTGCATGCACTGACGTCATGACCGCTCTCGCACTGTACAGTCATAATCGTTATCGATCATAACGATTATCGATTTCATCCATAACGAGTGATATACGAGTAATCGGTATAATCGTTTCGGCCCTAATTATTTTCATGTGTGTCAGATATCAATGTTGTTTGCTTCCCCGGTGTTTGTGTGAAGGCTAATGCAACATGTAGCACTGTGCTAGTATTGTCAGATCATTGTCATTGCTGGTAGAGATGTATTGAGTTAGCATTGTCACACTGTTCCCATGTGTATCTTCATACAGGTCAACATGTCAGTCTAACTGCTGCTGGTACAGGACAATCAACAACAGCATTCCGCGTGACATTTGGTGATGGACAACCTACAGCCAATGTTACCAGTTACTTACCTGTATGCTTGGTGGCCAGTGGATCAGGACCATTCATTCGACTAGAGAAGACTGATGGTAGTCTAGTGTTGGCTGAGACAGGTGCCTTCTCAGGAGGTACTATTGTACTGGTGAACACCACAGTACATCCTATACTGGACACATCATACACTGGACTGTACCATTGCAGAACAGTGGATAACAACTCAACACAAACATATCAACTCAACATTGTAGGTAAGTTTGAAACCATTTCCTATTTCCTGTGCAATAATCTCTCAATAACTGACTTTGTACTGTACAGCATGGCTACTGGAGTAGAATGGAGAATGAAATCGAGAAATGATTTATTAGCTTTGTGTCTCACTCGCAATATTACGTGTATGTACACATGTGTGTGTGTGTACACCTGACTATTGTACACATGTGTGTGTGTGTACACCTGACTATTGTACATGTGTGTGTGTGTACACCTGACTATTGCACATGTGTGATACAAAATAACACTACGTTCCTGCACAGTGAAACTTGAGTCTCCGACGACCTTATCGATCCGACCACTTTTTCTCGTCCCGAATATTCTTTCATAGGCGCATCTAGAACCTGGTCTCCGACTATGTTGGAGTATTTATGTTCGACGGAACAATAGCCTAGTTTTGTAGTACTTGTGCATCGCAATTTAGGTGGATCAGTTCATATTTGGGGGGGGGGGGGACAATGCGCCAGTTCTAATTTCTTACTTTTACGACGGGGCTGCACCAGTAGAGGTTTTTCAGAACAATGAATAATACGTGATTTCCGTTCATGGTTTATGCACACTCTGTGATGCATGCTGGCTGTACGCCTGTCACTGCACCCCGTATGCTTTCCCCCACACCTTCCATACACGGACTCGTGTCCGGATGCTCTGATGTAGGGCGCTTGTTTTTTGTTTTTTCACTTTCACATTCTGCAGCTAATATGGGACTATATGGGACTAACTCGAACCAGGGACCTTGCTCGCGAAGATCCCTGGTTCGAGTAGTGGGGGTGTGACTGATGAGTTTTTTCTTTCTTTCGTATCTGATTAGCAAGTGTTGAGTTTCGGAGAGAAAGGAGCAGTACGAGGCACCTGGTCTAATTTCCTAATACTTTGCAACTCTCCATCAAGTCCCAAATTTTGAAATTCCGACCAGAGTTTATTTCTCAAGTCTTCACTCTATCCATTATTGTACACTGAAGACTTGTTACCACAAAACCTACAACCGGCTTGAATGTTCTCTTCTTTGTTTCCAGAACTTTGTCCAGATCTCATTTTTGCAAAACACAACTTCAAACCCATTACTGATTTTAGCAGGGCGATTGGTACGAACATATCAATACGGTGTCAAACGGGGTTTCTTGCTAACACCAGTCTGGATGTGACCTATTCTACATGCCAGAGTGGCGGAGTATGGAACCCAAGACCACCAGCATGTGAAAGTAAGTCGGTACACTAGTTATTATTGGTGTTGAAACAAGCGTATCTTTAGCACAACGCTACCTGAACGCGCCCAAACGTCAACACCTGTAAAAATCGTATTTTCCCGTGAAAGTACTACCTGTTCAAAGGTCGATAACTTTACCTTCCTTTGGACGAATTCCACGATCTTGAGCTTCCTGGAAAGGTCTTGAGCTGAGGAACAAACGGGTGGCAAACCCAGCTCGGAGCAAAACCAAAACCCCGTGCTACAGTCTGGCAAACTTCATCAACGTGCTCGACAGACTCGTGTACGGCCAAGACTAACCGGGGTCAAATATTCAGCTGCCATTTCGGTCTCCTTGCTCGTATCGAGCTCAAATGTTTTGTCAAGACTCACGGGATCTACTACCATCATTTGAATCCTGTTTCCATGGCAGCAAGTAGCGCAAAAAATGATCGACAATGGAAAATACACGTTCTGCAGACTGCACGAAAAAATCTAGTTGAAATTTGCCGTGTCGAATCGCATATCTCAACAACCGGTAGTCGTAACGCATCGGCGATTGTTTCTATCGCCAACTGAGAGTTTTCATGTGCAGATACATGTTTCGATTGTGAGAATCGACCAAGTATTGAGTGAGTTACGATAGTTTGAATAAGTCGCTATGGACTCAACACGGACCCCACGACTATGAGATGCAGGTTCACTGTACAGTGTACAGCGCGCGTCGTACTAGTACGACGGCCGTGGGGCATGCAACTCATTTGCGTCGTACCAGTACGACGCTTGCGCTAAAGGGGTTAACAAACCAGCGAACAGTTCCACTAACGAGCAAGCTATCGAGAGAGCTAACGAGTTTCATTGATGTGGCAATATGATTTTTTACGTATTTTTTTCTAATCTCGATTTCTTATTCAATTCAGCTGGTTCAAATAATTATCACTGCTGGTATTTGGGGTTGCTTCTGCTTCACTTCGGACTACTGTTTGGTGGCGAGATGTCGTTTCAGCGCAGTCGTTGAGCAGCCTGTGTAAGAATAGACCGTGTTGCAACGATTGCAAGTAGCCCTGTTCTTCACTGCATCGCGCGAGAAAACTTCCAAATGACTGGGAGTAACTTTCACTCGAATGGAAAGTTGACAGAAGCATGTCCTGCGACAGATCAGCAGATGCGGAACAAAACATCAGTGGAGGCCACCAAAGCTGCAACGACGACTGAAACACATTCGCGTTGTGCAGGCATACGGTCACTGTAACTGCGAGTGATTTTCTTTTTGCGTGGGACTGGACTCTTCGTACCAGGGAGTCGTAAAATATTTACGACTCCCCGGTCGATATATTCCGCCATGTGTACGGAGTACCGTAAAATTCCGTTAATAAGCCCCGGGCATATACTTTGCAGAGCGTCAAAAACCGGCGTATATTTGGGCATGGGCTTATTTTAGGGCATGGACGTTATTTTAGGGCATGGGCGTTATTTCCGACGCAATCTACAGAAGATGAATTTATCAGCAACCCACTAGTTTCAGTGAACCGCCATTCATACTGAGTGCGGTACAGGTACATCAAACCACAGGTGGAAATTTGGTCGTAACCAAGAATGTAGCGATAAATTACAGATTTGATAGGTAAACAACTTGCTATGGTAAGTAAATGGCACGACACTTTACGCCCTGGGCTTATTTCGGGCATGGGCGCTAAAACGGACTTGAAGTGTACACCGCCTAAAATTGGGCTTATTATCGGACACGGGCGTTATTTAGGGTGGGCTTATTTACGGAATTTTACGGTGCGGTGTTCGTTAGTGCACATGACCTGGCCGCACAAAGGAACCGAGTTTCTGGCGAGCGAGCTAACGAGTACTCGGTGAGATCGCTTCCACACTACTAGTGATGAGGGTTTTTTCAGGGTTTTAAGAGTGTGAAGCAGTGAGTTATTTTTCCAGCTTTATCTGGGTCTGTCGAGTTGCCGAACGAGAACAGTTGGAAAGCGGTTTCAAATGGCCGTGAAGTTGTGCACCGGTCATTGGTGTCTCGAAGTGTTACTAACTGGCGATGGAGGTCACATTCTACTTGCTATGCCTATCTAAATATAGTGATCACTCTAGCACATATTTTCACGCTCACTATCCGTTTTTGCCGACAATGACGACTTGCGTAATAAAACTAACGTCTAAAATAGACCTTGAATTATCCTAGTTCCAAGCAAACACACAAACATGCTGGTCTATAATAATACCGGTAAATGGCACAATTTTTGCACCCGTTCTCTTCTATTTCCATTCCAGGTTGCAGAGTTAGATGTTCCGATGACATCAATGTTGAATCCTGTAATCACGTGATGGGACAAGGCACTGTCAACTGTATTTGTAAACTAAACTATATATGGGCAGGGAGCAAGTGTGTGGGTAAGTGCCTTATGCGCTATGCATCACACAACTTCACATTGATGTGTTGTGGATTGTGCCATGGTTCATGCTTGGGTGAGACAGAGACAGGCGCTGAACACTAATGTCACTGGCAATGTTTGAGTGCACACTCCTGTATGGCAAAACCTATGTGTACTTCACATGGGGATCACTAGTAGCTGCAATCTAGGTTTTCACTTGCTTCTTTCCATCTCTGCCTTTCTGTGTGTAACGCATATGCTTGTGTGTCGGTATATATGTGCGTGTATTTTGCTGTGTTCTATTTAGTAGTCTCTCCTACAATTCCTGTTACCAGTGGTACGTTCTATTCTGTTTCTCCTTGCCTTGCACTTTCAGTGAGTGCATCAAGCACTGCAATGGGTTTTGAAAACACTGCATGACCACTGTGTTGCATCTACTGGTGCAGAAATGGCCATTAGAGCAGTGACAACAACTTTCTGCAACGTGTACTATAAAGACTTGTGGCAGAATTGTTTCTAGCCGTGCAAAGATGTATGTGCAGTGGCGGATCCAGGGGGGGGGGGGGGGCAGGGGGCATCCGGGACGGATACCTTGGGCCCCCTCTTCGGCCAAATCCTGGATCCGCCACTGATGTGTGTTTCATGGTAGGCTCGGTGTGTACTCCGTATACGACTAGCCGTGCTAAGATGTATGTGTCTTTCTTGGGAGTCTGAGTGTGTGCTCTGTATACAACTAGTACGTCTGTATCACACCACAGAGTATGTCAGAAGTAATTAGTTGCTGCTCGACCCCTGGTACTGAATTCCTCGTTTTCGTTTATGTCCTTTTGTTACCCTAAATGCGCTGGTATCTATGTGTGTGTATTTTGCTGTGTTCTATTTAGTAGTCTCTCCTACAAGTCCTGTTACCAGTGGTACGTTCTATTCTGTTTCTCCTTGCCTTGTACTTTCAATGAGTGCATCAAGCACTGCAATGGGTTTTGAAAACACTGTATGATAGTGTTGAAACGATCTCACCGGATACTCGTTAGTCAGCTCGCCAGAAACTCGGCTCGTTTGTGCGGCCAGCTCGTTTGCACTAACGAACACCGCACACCGTACTCCGTACACATGACAGTACATGTTGACTGGGGAGTCGTAAAATATTTTCCGACTCCCTGGTCGATCGAGAGTCCAGTCCCGCGCAAAGTGAAAATCACTCGCAGTTACGGTGACTGTATATCTGCACGACACTTGAGTTGTTTCAGTTGCCGTTGCAGCTTTGGTGGACTCTACTGATGTCTTGTTCCGCATCTGCTGACCTGTCGCAGGATATGCTTCGGTCACCTCTCCATTCGAGTGAAAGTTACGCTCAGTCGTTTGGAAATTTTCTCCCGCTAAGCAGCGAAGACCAGGGCTCTTTGCAATCTTTGCAAAACGGTCTATTCTTACCAAGGCTACTCAACGACGGCGCTGAAAAGACATCTCGACACCAAACAGCAGAATGAAGTGAAGCAGCAGCAATCCCAAATGCCGGCGGTGATGATTTGAACCAGCTGAATAAAATCTAACTTAGAAAAAAAATATTCAAAAAAACATATTTGCCACATCAATGAAACTCGTTAGCTCGCTCGATAGCTTGCTCATTAGTGGAACCGATCGCTCGTTTGTTATAGATACGCTCATTTCAACAATACTGTATGACCACTGTGTTGCATCTACTGGTGCAGAAATGGCCATTAGAGCAGTGACAACAACTTTCTGCAACGTGTACTAGAAAGACTTGTGGCAGAATTGTTTCTAGCCGTGCAAAGATGTATGTGCAGTGGCGGATCCAGGGGGGGGGGGGCAGGGGGCATCCGGGACGGATACCTTGGGCCTTCTCTTCGGCCAAATCCTGGATCCGCCACTGATGTGTGTTTCATGGTAGGCTCGGTGTGTACTCCGTATACGACTAGCCGTGCTAAGATGTATGTGTCTTTCTTGGGAGTGTCAGTGTGTGCTCTGTATACAACTAGTACGTCTGTATCACACCACAGAGCATGTCAGAAGAAATTAGTTGCTGCTCGACCCCTGGTACTGAATTCCTCGTTTTCGTTTATGTCCTTTTGTTACCCTAAATGCGCTGGTATCTATGTGTGTGTATTTTGCTGTGTTCTATTTAGTAGTCTCTCCTACAAGTCCTGTTACCAGTGGTACGTTCTATTCTGTTTCTCCTTGCCTTGTACTTTCAGTGAGTGCATCAAGCACTGCAATGGGTTTTGAAAACACTGTATGATAGTGTTGAAACGATCTCACCGGATACTCGTTAGCTCGCTCGCCAGAAACTCGGCTCGTTTGTGCGGCCAGCTCGTTTGCACTAACGAACGCCGTACACCGTACTCCGTACACATGACAGTACATGTTGACTGGGGAGTCGTAAAATATTTTCCGACTCCCTGGTCAATCGAGAGTCCAGTCCCGCGCAAAGTGAAAATCACTCGCAGTTACGGTGACTGTATGTCTGCACGACACTTGAGTTGTTTCAGTTGCCGTTGCAGCTTTGGTGGACTCTACTGATGTCTTGTTCCGCATCTGCTGACCTGTCGCAGGATATGCTTCGGTCACCTCTCCATTCGAGTGAAAGTTACGCTCAGTCGTTTGGAAGTTTTCTCCCGGTAAGCAGCGAAGACCAGGGCTCTTTGCAATCTTTGCAAAACGGTCTATTCTTACAAAGGCTACTCAACGACGGCGCTGAAAAGACATCTCGACACCAAACAGCAGAATGAAGTGAAGCAGCAGCAATCCCAAATGCCGGCGGTGATGATTTGAACCAGCTGAATAAAATCTAACTTAGAAACAAAATATTCAAAAAAAACATATTTGCCACATCAATGAAACTCGTTAGCTCGCTCGATAGCTTGCTCGTTAGTGGAACCGATCGCTCGTTTTTTAGAGATACGCTCATTTCAACAATACTGTATGACCACTGTGTTGCATCTACTGGTGCAGAAATGGCCATTAGAGCAGTGACAACAACTTTCTGCAACGTGTACTAGAAAGACTTGTGGCAGAATTGTTTCTAGCCGTGCAAAGATGTATGTGCAGTGGCGGATCCAGGGGGGGGGGGGAGGCAGGGGGCATCCGGGACGGATACCTTGGGCCCCCTCTTCGGCCAAATCCTGGATCCGCCACTGATGTGTGTTTCATGGTAGGCTCGGTGTGTACTCCGTATACGACTAGCCGTGCTAAGATGTATGTGTCTTTCTTGGGAGTCTCAGTGTGTGCTCTGTATACAACTAGTTTGTCTGTATCACACCACAGAGCATGTTAGAAGTAATTAGTTGCTGCTCGACCCCTGGTACTGAATTCCTCGTTTTCGTTTATGTCCTTTTGTTACCCTAAATGCGCTGGTATCTATGTGTGTGTATTTTGCTGTGTTCTATTTAGTAGTCTCTCCTACAAGTCCTGTTACCAGTGGTACGTTCTATTCTGTTTCTCCTTGCCTTGTACTTTCAGTGAGTGCATCAAGCACTGCAATGGGTTTTGAAAACACTGTATGATAGTGTTGAAACGATCTCACCGGATACTCGTTAGTTCGCTCGCCAGAAACTCGGCTCGTTTGTGCGGCCAGCTCGTTTGCACTAACGAACACCGTACACCGTACTCCGTACACATGACAGTACATGTTGACTGGGGAGTCGTAAAATATTTTACGACTCCCTGGTCGATCGAGAGTCCAGTCCCGCGCAAAGTGAAAATCACTCGCAGTTACCATGGTTACGGTGACTGTATGTCTGCACGACACTTGAGTTGTTTCAGTTGCCGTTGCAGCTTTGGTGGACTCTACTGATGTCTTGTTCCGCATCTGCTGACCTGTCGCAGGATATGCTTCGGTCACCTCTCTATTCGAGTGAAAGTTACGCTCAGTCGTTTGGAAGTTTTCTCCCGCTAAGCAGCGAAGACCAGGGCTCTTTGCAATCTTTGCAAAACGGTCTATTCTTACAAAGGCTACTCAACGACGGCGCTGAAAAGACATCTCGACACCAAACAGCAGAATGAAGTGAAGCAGCAGCAATCCCAAATGCCGGCGGTGATGATTTGAACCAGCTGAATAAAATCTAACTTAGAAACAAAATATTCAAAAAAACATACAACGCCACATCAATGAAACTCGTTAGCTCGCTCGATAGCTTGCTCGTTAGTGGAACCGATCGCTCGTTTGTTATAGATACGCTCATTTCAACAATACTGTATGACCACTGTGTTGCATCTACTGGTGCAGAAATGGCCATTAGAGCAGTGACAACAACTTTCTGCAGCATGTACTAGAAAGACTTGTGGCAGAATTGTTTCTACTTGGTCCGCCCAGTTAAAATTGGCGCTTATCTTCACACTTGTCTCAGGAAAGAAATACGAATATTTGAAGCAAGCCACGATCACAAAGCACTATATACATGATTATTTACATGTCCGTAAGCAACTCAGTCGAAAATTCAAGCAAGTTACACATCCTCCTCGCCACTATCGTCGCTGGAGGAAGAGCTCAAAACGTACGATCCGGACAGCTGCTGCGCGGGTTGTTTCATAGCTTGTTCCACTTCTCCTCGTCTCGAATCACGCTCAAAGGCAGTGCGTGCCTGTCACCTTCCCATCAGAAGCTGAGTGAGACTGCCCGCATGCTGACTGTTAGTGTTATCCCCGTTCGTCGCAATAATGCGACTTTGTTTGAGACAAAAAGGTAACGCCATATCAGTGTCCTTTTTTCAAATCGCCTCTTGCGCTTGTCGTACTTGCTGATCAGCACCCGTACCCACGCGAGCCGCTGGTGCTTGTACATGCAGCGCAGTGATAGCTTCCGCTTGATGTATCACCTGTGCGTACTGCACCTACAACGCCGTGCACCAGGCTTTTCGGCTAGTTTCCTGAAAGTCCTTTGCACGAGTGTTTCTCTCAGGACTTGGTGTTCCCTTTGATTACTAGTAGCTCCTTTGCCCTGTCCTCTGTGAGCTTCAAAGTGTGTCGACCGGATTGGTCTCACTTACTGGAGACATCGACATGAGCTGCAGTTTCTTCGTCAGCGATTTGCTGGTGATAGCCCTTCACTAGGCGCTGTATTGTGCAAGCACTGAAATTCAAGCTCGCGAAGCGCTTTTTCAGCTTTTCTATACCTCCCCGGGGTAAACAATCCTTGCCATCAGACAGCTGGAAGTAGACAGAAACTGTATTGTCCATCGCTCTGAAATGCGAACATCCTGACCTATTTTACGGACTCGAGCGGAGGTTGCAGTGTTTTCTTGCGCTGACGAAAGTGTTCGTCGGCGGCAGCTCCGTCAAAAAGACTCAAACGAACCGATCGCAACTTCTGTGATGGTTTGTGCTGCCATGTCGTCGGATGCAATGGTCAATGGTCATGTTCGGATGGTGAATCGGTGGTTCCATGCCGTGTGGCACAGGCAGAACACCAAAAAACCAAGTGAGAAGATAAGCGCCAATTTTAACTGGGCGGACCAAGTAGCCGCGCAAAGATGTATGTGTCTTTCATGGTAGGCTCAGTGTGTACTCTCTATACGACAAGTCGTGCAAAAATGTATGTGTTTTTCATGGTAGGCTCGGTGAGTACTCCGTATACGACTAGTCAGTGTCTGCTCCAGAGCCGGGTGAGCCGGGTAATCGACCCGGTTGGACGGCGCTTGGACCCGGTTGAAAATATAGTACAGGTCACCTGTGACCCGGTTGGTACTTTACACGCTCGAACTTTGAAGGGATTGACTACATGGCTTGTATGTCTGACAGATCATGCAGAGGCGTGCATCGAAGTGAAAGTAGTCAGTATCCGGTGTGTGCAAGTGCTCAGTTTGAGCTTTATCGTTTGAGGTGTTGCTTTGAGCCTCCAGCGAAGAGGCGAATCCACAGACCTCGCATGTGACTCGGCTGGTGAGACAGCGCCAGGCACATGTGTACCCGGCTCCGACCCGGTTGAAATGGTTGCGCCAGGTACACGTGTACCCGGCTGTCCTACAACCCTAGAGCAGACACTGCTAGTATGTCTGTACCACACCACAGAGCATGTCGGAAGTAACTAGTTGCTGCCGGACCTCTAGCTCTGGTCCTGAATTCCTCGTTTTCGTTTCTGTCCTTTTGCTACCCTAAAATCGCTGGTATCTGTGTGCGTGTATTTTGCTGTGTTCTATTCAGTAGTCTCTTCTACAAGTCATGATACCAGTGGTACGTTCTATTCTGTTTCTCCTTGCCTTGCACTTTCAGTGAGTGCATCAAGCACGGCAATGGGTTTTGAAAACACTTCATGACCACTGTGTTGCATCTACTGGTGCAGAAGTGACCATTAGAGCAGTGACAACAACTTTCTTCAGCATGTACTAGAAAGACTTGTGGCAGAATTGTTTCTAGCCGTGCAAAGATGTATGTGTCTTTCATGGTGGCTCGGTGTGCACGCTGTATACGTCTAGGCGAGCAAGAATGTATGTGTCTTTCATGGTAGGTTCGGTGTGTACTCTGTGTAGGCCCAGTATGCCTGTACCACACCACTCAGTGTGTCAGAAGTAACTAGTTGCTGCTCGACATCTCGTACTGAATGCCTCGTTTCTGTTTATGTCCTTTTGTGGCCCAAAATGTCACAACCTACGGTTCAACTACCACTTCATCGGCGATTCTGCCCACGACGCCACGACTACTTCACACAAACTCGCTACCTCCTACATCTTATAATCAGCTATGTCAAGTGGAACACCATCCTTGCATCCGCCTTCCACTGCCGATGATTCTACAAAGCAGCGTGTATCAACTGGAGCTATCGTTGGCATTGCTAGTGTAGTAAGCATCGTGACATTGGCATGTGCCATCCTTCTCACCTTCAAGATCAAGAAGGTTCACAGGTAGGATCTTACTATAAATTTCTAGTTTATACTGGTGTGGCGGCATGTGTACTGTTTGCTCTTGGTCTCTACTGTAAATTACCACCAGAGCACCCCACCTTGATTTCACAGCCAGGGAAAACACATAATCCTATGGCAGAGTGCAATAGATTGTGTGCGATGTGAGAGCCTTAGTGTACTAAAGTCACACTTAGGTTTTTGTGTGCAGCTCGTGTCCGCTAAAAGTTAACGTGTATACGGATTGACTGCACAACGTGCAATGTGTATACACGGTTCGTGTGGTATGACCTACAGGCAGGACACCACGTCCACAATACGACCAGAAAAGGACGCGCCGTACTCGCTGTACTTTACGCTACTTACGTCTATACGCTCATAGGATATGAAGCATGGCTAGTGGCTCTGGAAATTACCTACATCCGAAGTGCCACCAGCAGTTACATGTTGCCCTGCCTTTACAATGAGAAAGCCCTGTACGGTAGATAAATGCGCACAGGAACAATTTCGCCTGGTTGCATCATGTGTGAGCGAACAAGGTAGAAATGGAGAAATGGAATGTTACCTACATTTTGGCAAAAATCTGTTTTGAATGAAGGTCACCTACAACAATCTATTTTTTTCAGATTCCCAAGTTTCAGGCTGCTACTATCTATGAAAGAGTGTTTCAATCCTCTCCATTTTTCGGCACTAGCAATAGTCCAAGAAGATGGCTGCTACAAACGTTTGAACTTGCGCTTCCTGCCCAGACGACTGACTCACGACTGCCGTGTGGAGCACATGAGAAGTACGTGAGGCGGTCCACTCGTGAAGCCTGCAAGAAAGCACCACTCTCTGCTCAACACACAGTGTTTCGGGGAATTCCCCTATCGTCATCACTGACTCATCAGCTGAACTGGAGTAAGCTGAGTAGGTCCAACGTCTGGAGCAGCCACCTTCTTCTACAATAACTGCCCAAGTCTCAACATCTCACTTTGACAATAGTCCGATAGGATCAATTAAAACTGTGCAATTTTTGATCAACATCGATGAGTCCGTTTTTGTGTTCGGATTTGAGTACGATCCACCTCTGCATCGCATTTGCAATTGAAGGGCTCCGATTCAAAACGATGTAAATCCGTTTTATGGAAAGTTCAGGAACTGCAGTTTTTCCAGTTCCTGAACTTTCCACTGCAGCAGCAATGACCTTTATCGTGTTTTGCAGAAGAAAACAAACTTTAGGCATCATTTTGACTGGGATGTATCTCATTTTGACCCGTAAAACCGACACACACAGACGTCCGCGGGGTGATAATGAATTCTTCCATTACAAAAAAAACACAAAAGCTCCGGTTTTGTTTTCATAGCGTTTTGAACTGGAGCCCTTCAATTGTATTTATGGATTCTCCACAGGCCTTAGCCTAAATCGATTGAGTCTCCGTCATTGCACATACAAAAAGTATGTCCGAAATAGAAAAAAAGAAAAAGAAAAAAGTATTCTATATAACCGCAGTTGCATTGATTTTCCAATGGTGGGGTATGGCATAATTGTATGTCTGTGCATAACACATTGATTTTCCAATGGTGGGGTATGGCATAATTGTATGT